CGCTTCCATCGGCATCTCAAAAGAGCCCTTAAATGACATAATACAGTACAAACTCTTTAATCTGGACTCATCGGGACTTCAGCGATTTCGGATTATAGATCATCTTACCAGATTTAAATCTGGTAAGATGGCATGCAGAAATTATAAAATTAAAAATATGAAACCGTAATTTATGAAATAAAGAGCAATTATGATCTAAAGGGTATCAAAATTTACCAAAAAAAAAAAGCTTAATATTTATTTGTTTACTTTATTAAACATTTCTTTCAATGTAAGTTTTTTAAGTTGCTTCATTTTATGTGCAAATACTTTCTCTTTAATTCTATAAACAGACATAATTTCTTGTTCTGTTACAAAGTTCCTCTGTTTAAGTCCTGTAATTGCTGTGCGGAGAATACCGACTAACTTGTCAAACGAAATTTTTTCGTTTTTACTAGCCTCTCTGTCACTTTCTCCATGCCTTTATCCATTTTTTGCAGCAATTCCACCTTTTGTTTGATGGACATCGAAACATGCTTTCGCTTTGTAGATCCTTTGGCAGTTCCAGAATCGGAAACTCTTTTTGACATAACCAAAAGTTCAAGCTTACTTTTTATAAAATTGCTCTAACAGTCTTCAAAAAATAATAAGCTGTATCCAATTAGAAGATTAAGGAACAACACAATCTGCAACATTAACTGAAATAGATAATTAGATAATTTTAGCCTAGCTTATACTGTCTGTTATACATTAAACGCACATGCGTTAAATGTATTATGTGCATGCGTGAAGATATGCGCATGCATAAATGCTACGCATGCAGAAAGTTTGTAGCTTTGAAGACCGGATTATAGATCATTTCAGGTTATGGGCATCCAGTTTAAAGACTTTGTACTGTACAGCACAATGGACTGAAACTCTTCCAGTTGTCCTCTTAGGCATATGCTCAGCTATTAAGGATGATGTCAAAGCAACATTTGCTCAACTTGTCTATGGCACACCATTAAGATTACCTTCCGATCTAGTAACGAGTGATGCCATAAATCAGACCTTAAATTCTGCATATGTAAACAGTTTACTTCAAATAATGAGAGCTTTAAATCTATTTGTACTGCCCTACGTGGTAGTCCCAAAATTTTCATCAACCCCTCATTAAAATCTTGTTCTCATATATTTTTTAAGATCTGATAAGTTAATCCTCCATTGACACCACCTTATACTAGACCTCATTTAGTCATTGACAGAAATGATAAGAAATTTATTATTGATGTAAATGGCAAATGTACTACAGTTTCAATTGATTGCGTAAAACCTGCTTACCTCCTGCCAGATGACGTTACTTCATGCCTTATCTTTACCTCCAGTTTCAACTCCATTCCCGCAATGTTTTAATCAAACATCTACCACTAAAAGTGAGCGTAAAGTCCAATTTCCAAAGCATTTAGTCACAGGCTACATTTCTTGAGTAGAAACTTGTACTATAACGTTTTGTATTATGCATATGTTTCTATTGTACCTATACCATGTACAGTATATTTTTATTATAGTGTACTTTATATTCTACATTGCACTATTATATCATCATTTTCTGTGTATATTGTAAATATTTATCGTAATATGTAATCGTGACTTTGTCACTGGGACCATATTCTGCAGCCAATCAGCAAGAGGTGCAACAACACCTGTCCTGTTATGTCACAACTTCTGTCTTGCGCTGTTTGAGTGAAAAGATCACTTTGCTCCCAGTACAATTTTCATTCCTGTGTGTATAATAAAATATATTTTTATATCAATGCTGTTTCATTCAATTCTGGAGTCAGATCAACCGATACCATTCGTCAGTGGTAATCATTCTTCAAAAGCAATAGAAAATTGTATAAGCAATATATAAATTTTCTCCTACATTAAAATGCCAGTTATATATCTCACTTATTTATTTACCTTTTTTAAGTAGCCTTTTGAAAGGCATATTAACTGTACTTTAGACTAAAAATATCCGATGCGGACACCACATGACTTCCTTGTACGGAATATCAAATTATACAGATTTATTGCTGCATTTCATTTAAACTTATTTCCATGAATTTCATTAGAGATAGATTTCTCATTCAGTTAATTGAGTTCTCACTTCACGGCAAGGCAAAAATACATAAAATCTCAAAATATCTTCATTAAAGATTGAAAGATGCAGAAAAAACATAAAACACTAATTGAAAGATGCAGAAAAAACATAAAACACTGAATACGGTTAAAACAATTTAAAAAAAATTAGGGTTTAAAATTAGGGTTTCTACACAAAAACAAGCAGTTCGATTAACAGGCAAGAAGGCAGATTTTTCGGTGCACAAAGCTAAAAGTTTCTTTTGGTCCCAGTCAGCAAAAAGACGCTGAAGGTGCAGAAACTGACTTAATTCACTAGTCTGCTAAGTTTCATATGTAAACAAATATAACTGCTGTGATAAAAAAATTAAGGCATAGCCGCACTTAAACAACATTTAAATTGTTTATGGCTCTACAACTATTGCTTGCAGATTAATTAAAGGCATAAAAACCTTAACCGGAACATAAATCGATCATTAACAACAACATAAGTCGATCATTTTTAAAGCAAAAAATTTACAATTTACCAACATATAAGAATAAAAAATACTGAGCTCATTGAGCCGAGTAACAGAGTGGGTATATATATATGTATATAACATACTTTCAGTGCAGCCGATTGCAACCAGAAAGGAACATGCACAGCTACATGTTATAGTAGTTGTATATACAAACTTTCAACATTCTGAAGCTACTTGTTTTTAAGTTATGCAAGATAGATACATAGGTACATACATACAGATGCCATGAAAAAATCTCTTCTGAATCCAGTTTAAATCAGTTTTATAATTCGTTTGGGGAAAAAAGAGTCCTTTATTTATCCTTTCATAGAGATGTCACATGAAAACATCGTTAAATTGCATTTGATAGTGGTCAAAATGGATATTTTCGTTGAAATATCATACCTGGAATTTTGCGTGATTACAGTATTTCCTTTAATTCATACAAGGAAGTAAAAAGTGCACCAAGCTAAATTTTTTATTTTTCTATATATTTCTGAGTGAAATTTACAAAATTTGATATAATTTGAGTCATAAGATTGAAGTATTGGAAAAAATTGGCATGCCATTTCAGAAAAAGGTCAGATTTTATGTCAAAATAATTATCTTAGAAAAGTGCTGTAAATAAATTTAATATATATCCTATGCTGTGCTTTCAAGACATTTAAAAAGCAAGTTGAATTTCTGCAATCAGCTGAGGAGAACGGGAGATTTAGAACTGTCGCCTCTTTTTCGGTTTGTTGTACATGCCAATATATATATATATATATTTTTATTTTTTTGCATTGCGAGTGATATTGGGTAATATCTATATATCTGTCTCTACAAGTGTGCCCTATAATCGGGAATAACAAGATTTTTAAATCTGGAAATTTGCATGACTATTTGTACGCTGAATAAACGTGAAGCAGTATGAGGTTGTGCTCATCTTGCCTCCATGTATGTCACAAATCCAGTTCATTCCTTTCTTCCAGGTGATGCATAATTTTCATAACATGCCAGCATAATGCTGACTTCTTACTTTGATAAATGAGTCATATATTCAGAATTCGATAGTTCAGTGTTTGGTAGAAATAATCACAATTCAAAATTTACAAAATGAAATTTCTGTAAATAATTTTATTTCATGCAGTTGTATGTTGAATGCAGTAAACTTACTGAGCTACACATTTTTGAAAGTGTTGCTAATTTTTTATGCTTTTGATGAAATTTGGAGTGTTAATTCATTAATTTACTGTAAATAATGAAAGTTTCAAACATTTTCTCTAAGATGTTTATAAAACTTTTTGTGGGTTTGTATTTAATGTATATTTAATTTCATAATCAAATCAATTTCTTCAGGTTTTCCAAAATCCTTTGCAGTAAACTTACTGAGCTGCAAGTTTTCGAAAATATTGCTGCTTTTTGAATAATTCTGTATCTGTAAAAATTTTTAGTGTTAGTTAATTTATTGTAAATAACTTACTTTTCTAAAATTTAAATTATTTTCTCTAAATTGTTAATAAAAAATTTTGTGAGTGTGTATTTAATGTATAATTTTATAATCAAATCAATTTCTTGAAATTTTCTGAAATCCATTCATTTTTAAGCTATTATGCAGGGTGTCACAAAATAATGTGTACTCTTACAGTAGAATATCCCACTAATTAAAGCAGTAAGTGTACAGTTTTTTGTGATCTTGTTTTGTGTACTTTAAGATGTAAATACTTGAATCACTACCTTCCTGTGCAAAACATTGAGGTAGAATAGAGCCACATACCAAATGTATTTTTTCTAATGATATAGCATCAGAAGTCTGTTCAGTTTTCTCTCTTGTTGTCCATTATTTATGATTTTGGGCTCTTGTCAATTCTTCAAAGAATAAATTCAAGAGGGATTAAGTCCGCAGTTTCAGGTGGAGACTGCAGCACTTCGTAGTCATTGTATCCATCTCTGAGAGAAAGTGCAATTGAAAAATCCCTCACATCGATATGAAAATAGAGTGGCGCCTTGTGCTGCTGAGGGTAGTACTTATTTTTATTTCCAAGAAGCTCCCTAAGACCAAAAGAGATTATGTGCAACATTTCTAGAATCTAGGTAAGAGTCACCTATGACTGTGTCTTCTATGTCCAGTGAATGTGACAGCCTTTTTAAAGATGGTTTCTCTGCCACATTTTTTGAATCAAAAAACTGTATTCCTATATACTTTTATTATTGATATATTTTTTAAAAGTGTTTGTACATTATTTTGAGACACCCTGTATAATGGTTGATTTTGAATGGCATTCAAAGTAAAGCATATTCTCTTTATGCTTCAGTATCAAACTCAAAATTATTTTGCATTCAGCATAAATAAAATAGACTGTATTTCATATTCATCTTTATCAGTTTTTTTCACTTTTATAGTAATGTATTTTAATTAATGTAATTATGTCTTTGAAGGTGACATCAAAAGTGGTGAAAGAATGCTTGACTGGATGCTTACTCAGAAAGATCCAAGTGCAGATGTTATTGAGGAAATGGAAGGCGATGATTTGCGGAATTTGATAGAGACTGCTGACCATTTAGCTGTCTTTTTCTGTATGTTCCCTGTTGTATCATTGTTTTTTTAAAATGATGTCGTGTAACACAATTATACAGCAGATATGTATACAAGTTGTAAAATCAGAAAATATGAAATTAATATTCATAATTCGAAAATTATATCTATTATCCATGCAAGTTTTTAATGTAATTTTTGTAGGCAAATAATAACTGTGTTGTAACCAAATCATGTTTGAATCATTCTTGCATTTTTATAATAGCTTCTTAATTTTTTAATGCTGCTTTTGTTAATTTTGCTTTATCTTCTTTTTTAGAGGTGTATGTAAAATATTTATGTATGACTTGTCATAGCTTAAATATACTCATGTGCCCAAAAAATAAGCAACAAATGCCAAAAGAAAAGGTACAGATATGAAAAAGGGAATTAAAATACAATTTACAAATGAGGTAGAGGTTTCATCGCTGAATGCTAATAGGCGCGACAAAAATTAGCCTAAAATGGTGTGATACAATCCTGCAGTCACACCAAGTCTTAAAAAGGGGCATATGGGACCTATGCATCAGTTCAGAAGCAATAATAGTTTGGTGTAATCCAAGATAACCAAAGCAGAAAGGATGAGCTGAAGACACCATTCATACGATGAAATGCATTGGAGGGATGTCAGAATGTTGCAAGCTGGTGCAAAACAATCTGCTGTTGTGAGAAAGCTGAATGTTTATCGTAGTGTCATCAATAGGCTGTTGAATTGTTACCAAAATGGATCAAAACCCTGCAGAAGACATGGGTCTGGATGGCAGAGGATTACCACAGCACAGTGGCGATCTCTTAATGTTGCTATGTGCAAGACACCATAGATCACTAATAGCATGACAGCTGGTGTTGCATCTCTCTGCTACTGCAGGACAACCCATATCTTGGCAAACTGTGTCACGTTAACTGCATGAAGGTGGACTGTATGCACCGACAACCAGTGGTTTGTGTTCTTTGTCCCCTATTGCATGTCAGAGTATAATTGAATTGCATCTGTGAACATTGCAGTGGAGCCATGTACTCTTTATGGATGAATCTCAATTTAACATCCAGAACGATTCTTGATAGGCAGTGATATAGTGAGATCCAGAAACATGCTGTCGAGCACCAAACATTATTGAGGGATATTGTTACAGAGCAGGTGGTTTACTTGTATGGGCTGGGATATCAACAATCGGCCACATCGACCTCTGCATGATTGCTGGTGGGTTCAATCACTGCCTTCCGATGTTGCAACGAAATTCTACACCTTCTTGTACATCCTTTTATCACCTTGATGGGTACCGACGTAAGTATTTATGGATGATAATGCCCGTCTGCATAGAGCTCCAGGGGGTAGTGTGAAGTTATCTGGAGAGTGAAACTATTTCACATCTACTGTGGCCTGCTAGATCACTGGATCTGAATCCCATAAAGCATGTGTGGAACATGTTGGGAGAACGCATAGCGGGCCGCAGTATACTGCCAGGCACCCTCCATGAGCTCTGACATGCATTATTACAGGAGGGGGCACTACTGCCACAACCATCCATCAGTGACATTATTACCAGATTGCCTTGCCATTGTCATGCATGCATTTCAGCTAGAAGGTATGATATCCATTATTAGCATGCACATTCCATTGCTCATTCTTTCAACCCATTTGGTCTTTCTCGATGTGTTGGTCATAATACATGTGTTTCTATGTCTTTGCTTTGTAGTCTAGTAATGCCACACCACTCTCTTGGATCAATTACACGCATGCCCATTAAACAGTTTTTGTTTTATTTCGTGCTTCGCCCTTGTTGCTTATTTTTAAAGCATGAGTATAAGTGAAAATGATTTTGTTATAACTATTCAATTACTTTTCCTGCATCAGTGCATCTATATTTAACTAATTTAAATTCAAGATAAAAATTGTTAAGTATTTCTCTATTCTTAAAGCCAGCAGTTTCTTTCTAAATTTATTTCCCCTCTCTCTGTGTGTGTGTTTGTGTGCATTTGCTTGCTTTTAAAAGATTTAAAAATTAATTTAATAAAATATTTTTCGTATTTAAGTTGTTAGATCAAAATAAATACAAACATAAAAAATTGAAGAATGTATATAGGAATATGAAGCCTAAATCCCTTCATAAATTAAAATTTATTCTTAGGAATTAAATTTCCTTTGGTGTAATATTATGAATAAAGTACTAAATTCTTTCTAAGTTAGTCCTAATAAAATTAGTCATTAAAAATTAGTCCCTAGTAAATTCTAAGTTAGTCCATACAAAGCTTTATAAAGTAATTTTATTATTTTATAAAATTTGATTGAATATTTTGTATGAACTTATTTGGTTAATATAAGAATATAAATATTTTGTATGAACTTATTTAAATATAAGAATATGTTAAGTGTGGTTGAACACTAGTGTGAGATTTTCAGAAGCCATTCCAAGAGAATCTGTTAAATGTTAATTATTCATTCCTTTTTTAAAAGCTATACATTTCTTTAAAATATTTTATGTCATTTTTGTTTTAATTCCAGATGATAAAAATTTGTGTTCTAATTGTGACAATGAAAATATTGGTAAGTATCTTTTTGCTTCCCTTTTTTATATATGTCATTAGGATTAGCTCAAAGGGAAAGTAATATGCTTATGGGAAAAAGTACTCGATTTAATTTATTATTGGCATTTAAATGTAAGCAAATTTACATAATTCAGGCTAGTTTACATCAAAATTAAGTCTTATTATCTGCATAGCATGCACTCAAGTAAAGTCAGTGTAATTTATCTCTGCAGTACATGTTAGCACAGTTTATGTGAGTTCATTTGATGCTAAATTCTGGATACGCATTCAGAAAAAAGAGTTTTATCTATGTAAATTTGCATGTTAAATATGTATTATAAATTGCACAGCAATGTAGTAGAAGTCTTATTAAGTTAGGGTAGAAAGTATTGTATTGAAATGTATTTGTCATTTAACTAGTATGTTGAAAATGTGCATAAATGGTAAAATTAGTTCCTGTAAACCCTTAAATAAAAATTAATCATGTACTAACAGTTTTCATGTATTGTAAACTGTTCTTTTCAAAATTTTCAATACATGGAAATTATTAATAATTTCAGTTTAAGGTAAAATACTCTGAATGTTTTCTCTGAAAATTATGAAGTTGTTGACACACATTTGTGGGTAAATGAAAGAATTCTAAAATGTTACGCTTCTGTGCTTGGGGTTTACTGCACTATACTATACAAAATTAATCAATAGAATGTTAATGAGCCATAATTTGAATCATAAACACTATGAAATAAAGAAAATTTTTCAAACAAACCTTTTTTTTTTTTTTTTTTTTTTTTTTATGTTTCCACATCTTGTGCATAATTTTAAATGAAAGAAACATATTACAACAGCACTAGCACTTTCAGTCCAATATCAATTTTCATAACATACTTTTTATTGGCATATCATACTTCTGCTTTTTGTGTTATCAGCAATTTTCTGTCAATTTATTTCATTTTTACACATCAGAATTTCAGAATTGCATAGTGTTCCTTAATAAATCAGTTTTAAATATGCAAGGACGGTTTTTGTTGTAAACTATGCAGGGTTTGCATAATTTTTAAATATTTTTTAACTATGCAAGGTTGTTATTCATTTGTTTTAACTGTGCAACTTGTTTTTAAGTGTCTGCTTCAGTTGATGATTTAGATCTATCAGACAGATCATTGTTAGAAACCAATGAAGGAAAGTCTTCTGTCTGGATTTATTGAAGAATGATATACACACATTTTAACCAAAGAAAGACTAGTTTGATGTAAAATTCAAGTAACCTAAAAATTTGGTGCCATTGCAACCAAAAATAAATCTGGCATCTTTTTTAAAGTTAAAAATCCAATTAGAATTACAAGGCACAAGAATGCTTATAGTTTCATATTTGAAAATTATGGAAAACAGCTAGCAGATTATTTTTAAAGTGCATACGATTTAATATTTAAATGACTGTTTCTATTTCTAGCTATTTACATCTGAGACATCTTTTATACAAGAAAAATATTTTTAACCAATAGAAAAAAGCAACTATATTTTTCCTTTAAATTTATCTTTTTCAACATTTTCTAAAAATGAAATATGCAGCATTATCATTCAGTTACTAAATTTATAATCTGTGTTTTTAAAAACTAGAATAAAAGTTTAGAAGTTGTTTACAAAAATCATAGCTTTGATTCACTCAGCTTTGCACTAGAAACTAATTTGTGTGAACATAAAAGGTATTAGCATGACACTGTTGTCTCCAGTGGGATATTGTGGTTGACCATATTAAAGTCTGAACTGCTAAATTTATTGGGTTCATTATATTTATTTACATATTTATTGGGAAATAATGAGACACAAAATATTTAATTTTTTATGGATTTTTCATTTTTTGATTATTTGTTGAGATAAATTTAAAGAATTTATCGATGTTAATGGATTAACTCTTGCTAGTTATCTCAATGATCATTACATAGTTTTGCTTCAAAAAAACCATCAAGAACAAGTCTGTTTTTAATAATTTATTTGTCATGTTTCACTTCACAGTATTTAATGCTTTATAAGCAGGTTTCTTGGTGAGTTATTAAAAAAAAAAAAAATATGTCCCTGAATTCCTGGTTTTTGCTGAATAAGTTATGTAAACTAAAATTAGGCATCCAATTTCTACATAAATTTTCATTTCCTTCTAGAAGAAAGTTTAATAAAAGAGAATTCTTTAGTTTTTTTAAAAATTCAGTTAGTAATATTGTCTAAAGGTGATCTGAAAATGTATAATTTCACAGTGTCTTAAAATTTATTCTCTGTTAAATGTTTAATTTTTTGTTATAAACAGCAAATATTTTCTTCTCTGTGTTAAAGCATAATATGAATGCAATTATTTGATGTGATAATTGATTTTTGTGGCTTGTTTCCGTATATTCCTTATAGCCAGTAGTTCACAACTTATTTTGCCTTTTCCAAATCTATCTCTTTAAGTTCAAGTAATTGCATGTGTGCTTTGTTAAAGTGTTCATGTTTTCTGATGATGCTTCAGATTTTATGTTGCAGGGATTATTCAGAAATAAATAATGGAAAATTGTACTACGAATACGATGATTAAAAGCATGCAATGTTCATTTTAAACTGTTCTTGTGATATGTATTTATTTCCACTGAATATCTGGTGGAAGATTTTCATTGTTTAATTAATTGTCTTCACATTCTTACTGAATAATTATTTCTTCTTAATTTAAATTCTTAAAGCATTCTAAATGCTGTATTTTCAATTAAGATACTATGGAATGTGAAGACTGCCAAATCATTATGGATGAACTTGAAAACATAGATGATGATACTGACAGAAATGGTATTCAGTTTGTCAAGACAACTGATCTAAGTGTTGCAAAGCACTATGGAATCAAACTAACTCCTGCATTAGTTTATTATGAAAACCAAGCCCCAAGCATTTATGAAGGTATTAAAGTGCTTTTATTTACATTGTTGTAGATTTTGTCATGAATATTATGTATATGAATGTAAAACTATTTTAAAGGAGAACAGTTTCTGATGTCCTTTTTTATGATGTTGCATTGATGCCCACACCTTGGTGTCTACTGCTGGTTTCACTGTCATTTATCCACTATGCATAAATATTAACATTAGCAGATTGTGAACAACCTACCAGTCATACAATTTTGGAGGTACTTATTCCGAGTCTTCGGGCTATTACAATCTGCCTCCTATCTAATTCACTTAGATCAACAGCCATTCTCATCACTCACGAAAGTAAGTGCAAGAATGGTTATGTGAGGATGGTCATGTTTTGGTTCGTCATATAGCAGCTGCCAATTCTTCCTTTCTTTTGTCGCATGTCCTGATAGATTATAAATGTGCTTTAATTTTTAGCTTTTTTCAAGCAAAATGTTCCCTAGCAATAAATGAAATTTATTGAATTAATGAAACTTAAAATTGTATAAATTTCATTTCGAAACCTCTAATGATTTGCAATGTAATTTTTCTGATTAAAATTTGTTTGATCCAAATTATCTTCATGTACTGTAGACATCAGTAGAACTCATTATAAAGATTTAATGATTATTTATTAACATTAAGCAAAACAGTGACCTTATTGAACAAGTTTGCTGTTCCATGTAGTTTTAAATTTCACATTGGTGTGTTTTTCTTCAAACTTCAATATTTAATTTAATTTTGTTTTATGCCACTTTAATAGTACATTACAAAATTTACACACAAAATAGTATTTATGTTAATTTTTAATTTCATTTTTATCGTATTTAAGAGTATTTTGATGAACAAAAGCTTCCTTTTCCCACTCATGATTTTCTCAATATAAAAATTGAAGAAAATCACAAAATGAGTTTGGATAAAAAACATACACTTTTGAATATCTAAATATAGTTCACATCAGTAATTAATCTTTTATTTGTATACAATTAAATTTTCATAATTTAAAATTTTAATAAGCTTTATACGAATGAGGGAATATTTGATCAAATATTAATATGTTTTATATCAGAATCATATTGTAAATAGTTCAGTACCTGACATCATACATTCTAAAGTGATTTTAATTTAATCTGGAGTTTTTTTAAATAGAGTTAGCGCACAGCAGGAAAAATCCTCGACATACTCCTGGCTTTCGTTTGAGAATTTTATGGTATTTCATATTTCAAGGTTAGTAGTTATGGTAGGGACTTAACCAGACAAGTTGCTATTTAAGTCTTATTCACTGCTGGAAAGTTCAATTGGCACCAAATAATGATAGTTTTTCAGTAAGTGCCAGGTTGTCTGTTGTGACTGTGTCCATCTGTGAAACATGGTAAGTCTTGTCACTTCAACATGTTTCATATTTAACTTTTCGTTATGGATGCCTGAGATTTGAGAAATCATGAAACAGAAGATAGTTCTATAATCATAGAATATGCCTAAAACATAGAGAATGTTCTACATCTCATTCAGTCAAATTATATATCATTAAAGAAATATGCAGTGCACTGTTCAAAGTAGTACAAGTAGATAGTAAAAACGGGTAGCAGAGGTATATTTGAGGGAAACTAGATACCATTATTAGTAGCGGTGTCATTTGTGTACAGTTGCTGCAAGGAGAAGACTGATGCAGGTATGAAAATTACCTTCGGTTGACTTACTAAAATAGACGGAAAACTAAGCAGAAGTTTTGTTACTGAGGTTTTTATTAAATTGGCTACAAAAATCTTCAGTATTGAGACTGCTGTAAGGTTACATTAGTGTCAGCTAAACTTCTCAGTCATAGATAAGGCACATCTATCTGCAGTAATTCGTTTTAGCATAATTTACCATGTTAAAAACTTCCAGGATTACTTTCCCTTACCATATTACTTTGAAAGCTTGGAAGTTCATGGGCTTTCAATCTTATTTACATATACTCTTTTAAAATTTTGTAAATCTTAATGCCTGTGGTGAGGAAAACTAGGTCTTATTTACATTGCACCCAGAAAAAAACAATGAAAACATCTGTGCTGCAATTCTGCTCACCTTAATTTAAACCAATTTTTTTCAGTGTTTTTAGCTTCTCAGCTGCTGGGGAGGGGAAGCAAACGTTTCATTATTATGTATTCTTTTTCCAAAACCTGAAGAGATGTTTTTATTTGTGGCTTACTGAATACTTAATATGCATTATATGAATATTAGGAGTGACTTGTTTGCATATAATTTCAAAGGAAGGTTCTGAAATATATTTGATTTAACCATTTCCTTGCCAATATTCCAAGCTGGGGATATTTATAAAAATTATTTAAATGATTTATCTTTCAAATTTTATGTAACAGCTCATTTATTTCATTTCCTATTTAAACAGAATTCGTTTTAAAATATTTTTTTTTTCCAACCAAAAAGTACTATCTTTGTGTTAATGTGAATAGATGCTTTTCGGCGTGTATGATTTCTTTTTAATTTTTTGATATGGAAACTATAAAAAGAATTTATTTGAATCAAAAATTCATTATAAAATTACTTAATAATTATTTAATGACAGAGGTTAAGAATCTGTCATCAGAAAAATAGTATATGTGATCTAGATATAGTTGTTCCCGATTATAACAGTAGGAAAATAACTGTGCGGAATTACCGTATTTGATGGCATATTAAGACGCACTTTTTTTCCTAAATTTGGTCTCAGAAAAGTTACCTGCGTCTTATATGTGAAGGACACAGGATAACTTTCAATACTGAATGTTATTTTAAGCTCGGATAAAGGTCTAGACACACATAACTCTACTTCTGCCATAATTATTTTGCACATGCGTGAAATATCTGTCACCAAAAGCGCCGAAGCTCGAAGCTGATGTTGAAGTTCGAAGGTTACATTACGTCTGTGGAGCCTTTCCTTCTTTACATAGACTTTGTTTGACTCAGCCAACACACATGTCGGTATCAGTGCTACTCTGTATAAACGTGTCGGTATCGGTTCTTAAAACTATTTGTTTTAAAAAAAATACCCTGGAAAATATGACTACAGGAAATAAGAGATTAAGCTATACAATTCAGTATAAACTAGGACTGTTAAACTATGCCAAAGTGCATGGAAACAGAGCAGCAGCAAGGTATTTCGGTCCACCACCTACCGGAAAAATGATTCGTACTTGGCGACTGCAGGAAGATCAACTGAAGACTGCTGAAAAACATAACCTTCTATGCCCAGCTCCATCTTGTCCTGAACTTGAAAATGCCCTAAAAATGTGGGTGATAGATAAGAGGAAATCTGGGATAAGTGTTTCAACCAAAATGATAATCAGTGAGAACAAAGGATTTGCAGAAAAACATGGGAATCAGACTTTTCAGGGTCTGAGGGCTAGTGCTACAGGTTCATGAAAAGGCAAGGCTTATCAATGCGCACAAAAACAACAGTTGCACAGAAAATGCCAGCAGATTATGAAGAAAAAATACTAGCATTTCATAGGTTTGTTATAAATGCACGCAAGAAAACTTTTTTCGAGCTCGGTCAAATAGGAAATATGTATGAAATTCCACTCACATTTGATGTACCATCCAACAAGACTGTGAGTATTAAAGGGTCTAAATCAATAACCAAAACAACCACAGGTCATGAAATTACCCGATATATGGTAGTTCTAACATGTTGTGCTGATGGCACAAAACTACCGCCGTTTTTCATATTCAAAAGAAAAACTCGTTGAAAGAAAAACTTCCAATGGGTGTAATTGTTAATGTTCATCCGAAAGGCTGGATGGACGAAGCTGGAATGAAACTGTGGTTACAGAACGTATTGGCGAGGCGACCTGGTGGACTCTTAAGAAAACCCTCTCTTTTGGTTTTGGATCAGTTTAGCGTCCATAGAACTAAAACCATAAAGAATAAAGCGAGAGAACTAAAAACCCAGATAGCTGTCTTTCCTGGTGGACTGACTAGCCAATTGCAGCCTTTAGATGTATTGGTGAATAAGCCATTTAAGGAAAAAGTGAGAGAACAATGGAACAAGTGGATAGGAGAGCCACATCACGTCCTCACACCCTCGAGTAGAATGGAGCGGCCCTCTATTTCACAAGTGTGTGAGTGGGTAAAAAGATCTTGGGAGAACATAAAAGTTGAAGTAATTGTTAAGTCCTTTAAGAAGTGCGGAATCAGTAATGCTCTTGACGGAACAGAAGACGACACATTATTCGAAGAAAGTGATACTAGCGATGACGGAAACAGTAGTGATGATGATATTCTCGTTTTGGATCATGATGATAGTGAAAAGGATTTTTATGGTTTTGAAAGTGATTAAAGTCTAATTTCATGATAGGCAACGTTTTCCTTGAATCTGTGTTTTTTGTTGTTTCTGTTTTATTTTGTATTATGTTTGATTGCTTGCCGTTCATTCATTTATTGATTATTGAAATTTACATATCATGTTCAAAATAGCTTGCCGTTTGTTAATTTTAGTTAATAAAAATATGTTTGGTAATTGCATTCAATGATTGTTTATTTGGCTTTTACGAAACGTGAGAACTAAAAGAAACCACATTTTAAGTTATTGTGGTACCATGCTGTCGCGTGGACTATTGAAACTTTTTTTTGTTGTGTGTGGCCTTCTAAATAAGGGTGCGTCATATGCCGTCAAATACGGTACTTTCATCTGACTCCCTGGTAATAAAATTAGAAATGAAGACAAGGGTTAAAAAAACCACAGACTTTTAAGAATATAATGAATTAAGTGAAAGTGAGGAAAGCAATACAGAGGCTGTTTGCACATTTTTAGACATTTTTGCTTTGCTATGAAAAATTTCCTACGTGGAATTTTTTTTTTTTTTAACTGCAACTGTATTTTTTAAAGTTTAAATTATCGTCTGCTATTTGACAATTTTGTCTTCATGCAAAATGGCACTTTTAAAGAAGCAATGGTTGGAAGAGTGTGTTTGCTGTCTTTCCGAAGAAAATTATTCATATTCAGTTATTAAATATGCTGTGAAAGCCATGCTTTTTCGGTACCTAAAACAACAATATATAATATTGTCAATAAGAAAGTGACAAAAGTCAAAAGTATGGCTTCAAGGAGAAAAATTGTTCAAAATACATATCAAAGGAAAAACAGAATGTATCGAATGTTGCAAAAGTAAAATCTTTAATGTTAAAGAAAATCCGCCAAGTGAAAGGACAGTTGCAAAATCATTAAAATGCTCAGAGTCAACCAAAAAAAAAAAAAAAAAAAAAGATTGCAAAAAAAATGATTAATGTTGATTTGAATTTTAAAAAGGAGAGAAAAAATAATGTGCATTATCTTTCTCCGTGACATATATCGCTGAATGCAGACCGTGCTGCGGAATTCTTTATGAGAAACATATATCCGGACAAAATGGAAAAACATTGTCACAGTGTATATATAAATCACCGCAATAAAAAAGAGATCCATTTATTATCACTAAAGAGAAGAAAATCATCTTAGAACATGATTCAAAGAAGCTAAAGAATATTTTTCAAAGGGATGTATGATATCAGTTGGTTTTTATATAACTACAAATAAAAATTAAGAGAGTGCAGAGAACTCGTGACGTCAACTCTCCATATTATCACAAACATATTTTTTCCCCAATTTTCAAATATGAAATACCTTCTTTCTAGAGCCATCAATCAGCAGAACTGCATCAAGACAAAGCAAGCAGCCACACATCAAAATGCACTGTTAGTTTCCTGGACAAAATGGAACAAGAAACGTTTATCAAGGTCACAACCTTACTCATATTCCTACTAAACTTCCTGATGTATCATCCATGGATTTTTGCGTATTTGGAATTTTAAAAAGCCGACTGTCCAAACGTGTACCTACAACCCTCCTTGGACTTTTGAAAGCTGTTCAGGAGGAATGGGATAAAATACCTCTTCAGCTACCAAAAAAGCTTTATTGTCTTGGAAATTGCGATGTAGAAAATGGTGAAGAATAAAGATTATCAAATGGAACATTTAAAACACAAAAATTGTTAAATACATTGAAAATCATTTAAAAAATGTGCAAAAAGCCTCTGTAGTTCCTTCCAAGTCCTTGAAAGTACAATGGGACTAAAAGAATTTAGGAAGTGAATTAGTTGATAATTCGTTATTCTGAAAACATTGTCATTTTGCTTAATTGTGTTAAGCTAAATAAAATCAGACGTTTATACTATATTTGGTTTATTTTATCTAAATAAATTCTGTTATTTTTATGCTAAGGTGACCTAGCTGCTGAGGATGAGGTTCTTGAATGGCTATTGCATCAAAAATCTGATGATACAATTGAAACTGTGAACAAAGCTATGCTGGAAAAATTGATTGAGGAATCCCAGTATTTAGCTGTTTTCTTTTGTAAGTTAAAGAAATTTATTTCATGTTTTATTTATAAAATATTATTTTTACTTTAAAATTATCTAAATATGCATAAGTTTAAAACATTTAATTTTTGCCAAAATAATTTATGAATATTTATTGCTGTTTCAGATAAACCTCATTGTCGTGCTTGCGAAGTTGCACTTCTTGAATTAGAAAATATCGATGATGATACTGATTTGTACGGAATAAGTGTTGTAAGAATATATGATACTCAAGTATCTAAGCGTTATGGCATCAAAACATTCCCTGCTCTAGTTTACTTTAGAAATGGAAATCCTTTAGTTTATGATGGTATGTTTTTAGGTGCATTTTTAATGGCATTTCTTATGTGTAAATGTTCAAATACAGTACAAAGTCTGTAATCCGGACGTCCATTATCCAGAATGATCTATTATCCGGACCTCAAAACCACAAACCTTTTTTTTTTTTTTTTTTGTATGCTTTACGCTTGCACGTTTAATGTATAACGGACGGTATAAGCTAGGCTAAAATTATCTTTACTGATTCTAAGGCATTTCAGTTAATGGATTTTATTATTATTATTATTATATTATTGGATTATATTGTTATTGGAGTTACCAGTTATTGGATTTTGTAAAGAAATGTGGAGAAGCGGTAATAAATAAAGATGATACAACAGAAGTTTTTCATTGCAACGACAATGCCCCAATCAGCAATCAATTAATGAATGGCGAAATCTGTAGTATGGTTTTAGATCCAGAAAATACCGCTTCTGATAGTGAAGAAAATGACAGAGAGGTTATTGAAAGCAAAAGAATTTCGATTGACAAGTTAGCCACTCGACACAGCAATTACAGGACTTGAACAGAGGAACTTTGTAACTGAAAACGAAATTATGCCTGTTTATGGAATTAAAGATAAAGTATTAGCACAAAAAATGGAGCAACTTAAACAACTTACATTGAAAGAAATGTTTAATAAAGTAAACAAATAAATATTAAGCCCTTTTTTTTTGTAAATTTTGATACTCTTTAGATCATAATTGCTCTTTATTTCATAAATTACAGTTTCATATTTTTAATTGTATAGTTTCTGCATGCCATCTTACCAGATTTAAATTGATGATCTATAATCCAGAAAAACCCCTAATCCAGAATCGCCGATGTCCCGACGAGTCCAGATTATGGACTTTGTACATAACACAAATTAGCTTTGAACTTTAATTCCTTGTATGTGTGTTTTGTGTGTATATATATATATGTGTGTGTGTGTGTGTGTATGTAGGTGTACTATGTGCACACAGACACACACATATATACATACATGTGTGTGTGTATATATATATATATAGATATATATGTGTGTGTGTGCTCACACATGCTAGTGTCTAAAATTATATTCACAAAAACAGTGGTCTAAAAATGTGATGAATGTGCAACCAGGTTTTGTGAATTTATTTCGGAGAGATGCATGGCACCATAAAATTGAATATAAATGTATGTGGCACAAAACTATTTTATGAAAAAGTAAAATTGAAATTATGCAGGACAGCAAAATTTTAGAAAAATTGAATGCTTCAGAACAAAATGCTGACTTTAGGCATTAACAAAAAATGCAGTATCCACTAACTCATATACCTATATTACTTGATTACATGCTGTCATTTAATTGACTAATTAAAGTGTGTAAGAAATTTCCGTTTCTCAGCTATTATGATTTTCAAGGCATTGAAATCTTCAGAAAAAGAATTTTGGCTTGCAACAACTTCGAGAATGTCCCATAAGTTCTATATGGATTTTACTTTGCTGGCCAGTTTATTTACCCAATGTCTTCAGTATCAAGAAATTTATCAACCAGTTTCGCTGTGTCTAGAATCACATTATCATCCTCAAAATATGATTCAGGGCCACATAAATACTCTAAAAGGCATTGCGTAGATTTGTAAGATTTCATGTCCATGCAGAAAGGAAGTGCCGTTGCTCCATCCCAAATCATCACATCAGTGCCACTGTAAAAGGCATTACATAGATTTGTAAGATTTCATGTCCATGCAGAAAGGAAGTGCCATTGCTCCATCCCAAATCATCACATCAGTGCCACTGTAATAATAATAATCTGATATTGGTAGAAATATTTTTTGTTCCTATCTCCCTCCACATGTAAATGCTTTTAGAACCAAATGTTAAAGAAAGCACAGACTTTAGCTGTGATGATCTCTCATCAGTTTAGGCAATTTTTTATTTATTGTGAAATAAGTGAATTGTTGTGAAGTAAGTGAAATGTGAATCATATACAGTTTTGTGATTAAGACTTCAGCATATTTTTTGCCACAAAACAAGAGTTCTGGAAGCAGTTGCAAACTTTAAATTCAGCTGCTTAACAATCTTTGTGGCTTGGTTTATTTGATTATGGCAAATCACTTGAGGGCTATCTGCCGAAGGGCTGGATTGCCTTTGTTGAGGACTTTCTGAGGGAAATTGGTTCATACCCATGTTGCACATGGGGACACCATGGAAACTCCCATGCAGTCAGCTTATTCATCGGGATTGGAACTCCAGCCCGAACTACCAGTGTTCAGTGATGTTACTACCCAACCTGTAGTGGCCCAAGATCTTTTTGGATGTTCAGTTATGGAGATCATTGGTGATAGTTGCTTTCTATAATCTTATCCCAATTTCTTATCAACAGTTTCAGAATCCTTAAATTGTTCCCAAAGGGCACAGACTTTGTATTTTTAATATAACAGACAGTTATGAGAACAGCCATCTTGCTGTTCTCTTTGTCTGTCCTGCTTTTAAATAGCCAACACCTATTCATCTCCAGATTACTAATGGTACTGTGGTGTCTAAAAAAATATTTTGACATGATAAACACCGAAATCAAACCTGTAGGAGTTAGTGGAGAAAAGTACTTTATGCAAAATGCATGTTATTATTTGCATTTGGGGAAAGACTTGTCAAATTGAACTGGGTGATGATAATTAAGTTTGCCTTTTCCTCATTCTATGAGAAAATAAATGAGATTGATTGGTTATTTCTTGAGATTATTTCCATGTATGTAAAGATTGTTCTGGATACCATCATGTGTGACTGCATATTTATCTATGCAGTATGCATACATATCTGTGCATGTCTATGCAAAAATGTAAATTAATTCTAAACATATTATGTTGTTCATTTCAGGCTAGTTGCCAGGTCAAGATTCTAAGATATCTTTTACGACCACATTTTGTCATTTTACGCCTGATTTCTTACCACCTGCATTTAATGAATGAATGGAAGTGGTGGGTGCTACGAAGGGAATAAGCATTTAGAATAGGATAATGGGGGTTTCAATAGAATAAGAATTTCAGCACTGTAATAGAAATTTTTTATTAAAGAAAATTTCTATGCAGAAAAGAAAATTTGGAGCGACTCAGTAAGTGAAACATTATACACAATAAACTTGAACATTGAAATGGGAAATATTTAATAAAGTAGTGGACTGCAAAGTGACTCTATAAGTGGGATATAACAAAATTTCATGATATTTTGTGTCCGCATGTATACATAATAGATTATATCAATTTAAATAACAAAATTTAAATGCTAAAAAGCTGAATCTTAATACAAAGAATTAAACAATACATCTTTACTTCACATTTACTTAACTTTCACATATTTGGTCATTAGCTTTTATTAAAAGGAGGTGTGCAGTAAAAGTAAGTATTTCTTCCGCTTTAAATATTTTTAGAACTTGTGATACATATAAATATAGTTGATTTAAATAAAATCTAGACTTCTGAAGTAAATTCATATATATAATAGTGAATTTTGCATTAGATGACAGCAATTCTGTTTATTCTTTTAAAAATCATAATTTAAATTTATAATTACTTTGTAATTTTTCTTTTCCATATATACAATGTGTAGCAAAAAATAACCTGTCTTATTTATCATAATTCTGTCATGTCCAACTTTCCCTAAGTATTCAGCTTATAAATTTTCTATCCTTTTATGAACCATGAAGTTGTGATCTAAATGAAATTTTATGTGAAAAGTGGATAATCATTAGGTATGTGTAGAAATCAAAACAAGCTACCAGTCTTTCCCACACACTAAAGAATAAATTTGGACTGTTGTCTTTTCCAGGGTACTGAAAAAAACATGTTTCGAATACTATTTCATAATGTACTTAGTCTGGAATTATATTACTTAAGGTTTACTTACCGTTTCTCATTTCTATGCACAAAGGAAAATTATCTTGAATCCATTTAGACTTCTGTCTGAAGTTTATTTCATTACACTTGGTTTTTCTTTAAATTGCTATTATTCTTTTGGGGAAACATTTGCACCGATTTTCAAGAGTTCTTGAAAAATCAGTTAAACAGATATTGGAGTTATTTGAAAGATTTCAGTTTTAAGACTTTTTTTTAAATGTGACAAAAATGGTTAAAGAAAGAAAGCAGGCACAATGAGATTTTGTCAGTAGTGTATCTTTAAGGTTACTATCTGGTACTTCTCTTTTAATGTGGTGCCACTTATTGCCAAACATAAATGTTGGCGTGAAATCTTATCTAGATGTTGGCAACCCTAAAAATACTTAAACCTCCATGACAAAAACGTGAACCTGTAATAACAGTAATGTATCATTATAATATATGTAATGTTTAATGGGTGCAGTGACAAATTTGTGCAATTTTGTGAATTTTCTTAAGCAAAAACAGATTGTTGTTTAAGTGGGGAGAACTGTTGTTTCCCCCCCCCATTAACATTGCATAGCTGTTCATGGCCTAATATGAAGAGACTACCACATTTAGTGCTTAGGTGCATATTTAATCGCTTGCGCCCCATTAACAGAAAAATACCCACTATTCTTATATTTTTAGATGTATGGTATATTTTTATACACAATTTTTATTTTTAAAAATCACTTTCTTTAGGCCTATGCTTCATTTCGTCTTCTGTTTTGAATAATTATTGAGAGTAAATGCTGTTATTCATTGTTTTGTTGCTGTCAGTGTATGTTACTATTTTGTGTTTTGGCAGAGAATGCAAAATGTTAATATGTTGAACACATCTTTGTATTTTTCTTTTAACTTAAGGCGACTTAAAAAATGAAGAATCAGTCCTTGAATGGCTTATAGATGATGATAATCGTGAATTGCCTGATGAAATTGAGACAGTTAACCTGAGAATGTTGAATAAACTGGTAGAAGAGTCACCATTTTTAGCTGTTTATTTCTGTGAGTATTCTACTTTTTGTAATTAATTCGTTTTCGAGTCACTTAAAGCTTTATTCACTATATGTATTTCTTCAAGTTATTATTTTTTTGTAACAAATAGCAGCTGTTGCTAAATTGGATAATGTGCTGTAGTGGCAGAAATGTTGCATTGACCTATAAGTTTATTAGAATTTAGAAATACATGTAAATTTTTACATCATAATCAGTTAATATATTATACATCATAAAAATTTTACCATCTACTATTTATGAATATTTAAGTCTGTGAAAAGTGCGGTTGATTCGGAAGACTGAAGATGATGGTATTTGTTTTTATGAATTTTTAAATATTCAATACAAGAACTGTGAAAGCAATACCTTAGAACAATATATATTATTAAGGAAGAAATAAGAATAATATTCCATCAGAAATAATGCATAGAGAGTAGAACTGAATCATTTCTCAATGTAATTGGTATTAAAAGGAAAGAAGGTACTGAAAGAATTCTGTTATCATTTTTTTGATGGATCTTACTTGGAGAAATCAAATTGTCACATCTTCTGAACTGAGAAATGCATATCTGCTTGGCAAGGAAAAAAAAAGTGAGAAGTAGGTTTAGCAGTTTAAGCCTTTATATCTTGTGTTGATACTAATTTCGCTTCGTTGACATCAGAACAAGCCCTTGAAATTCATGGTGGCAAGGAAGCAAGATTGCACCTATCGTTGCCAAGAGTCTTGGCCACCAAGGCCACCATTGCCAAGAGCCAGTAAGACTTTGCTCAGTTCACTCACAGTTTTGAAGGAGAGCATCCCAGGAGGGATGGGTGTGAGTGTCTTTCCCTACCAAAAGGAGGACCTTAGAGGACTTTGGCTTGCTGCATACTTTGAGTGGACCCATGCCTCACAGACACTATACATGTACAAACATCCATGTCTTCTCTGAGATTCAAATATGGGCCCTTCGTTGTGGCAGTCAGGGTGACTAACCACTATCCTGTTTGGATGGCATGCCTTTAAAATTAATATTACAGGAACATTAAAGGAAACATGAAAAATTAGCATTGCCCTCACCAAGAATTGAACCACAGATCCATTTGCTAGTTATATGTGTCAACCAATTACATCATGACAGAATGTTAGGGAATCTGATAATTCCTTACATTAGCCTTTGTTTAAAAGATTATTTGGGATAGGCACAAGACCCTGTTGATCAGATCCAGGTAGTGATGAGTTATCTTCCTTCACATTTTAGTATAAGCATACAGGCTCAAGGCTTTTCAAGGTGGAAAACATTTAAATTCATCTGTATTCTCATTGGGGTTCAAACCAGGAATCTTCCAGTGGTACATTGAATGTGTTGATCAGTTATAACCCAAGAGCATGCTGCTATATTTTCTTGCAACCTTAAGCCCACCAGCAGCCGAGCAGCTAAACATTGGTGGTTTGTTCTAGGATTTGAATCTTGATTAACAGGCTGGTGGCATGGGGGACTTTCATAATCTGCAGATTATGGCAGGTGATAGAAAATTGTAAAAATATTTGAATGCCTTAAATTGATAAATTAAAGACTCTTTTTGATCCAGCTGGGCAGAAAGCAAAATTTCAACATTTTAGGCTAGCTATTTCAGAATTGTGCAAACAATGGGAATTTAATGTATATAAAACTGCTGGTAAATCTGATTTCACTTATCATAAGGAAAATTATTTAGGGGAAAAAAGAATAGAAAATACAAATTTCACTGCTGCTTACAATGTTGTAAGTTCAGTGGCTTATCCCTTTACCATTATAGGGATAACTTCTTGTATCCAGAACTTTTCTTTCATCTCTTTAAGAAATTTATGTGGAAGTATCCATTTAACTAAAGGAACTTTACAAAGAGACCAGTTAAAAAAATGACGTGCGAGGATGCATTTAAAGGAAAATGGCAGTTTTTTTGCTGACAAGTACATTTAAAATGTATATACTATGTAGTGTACACAATCAAATGAAAATAATAATTCCCAATCAGGTAGTATATGCAGATTTTAGCAACAGAATGGCCAGTAGCTTTTTTTTTTTTTTTTTTTTTTTTTTTGGGGGGGGGGGGGAACTGACAGTTTAAAATGGACCAGAAATTTTCCCTCCCATCTTGATCTTTCAGTATTATCCTGTTAAAAGAGGATAAATTGAAACAGTCAGGAATTTGGGATGAATTTTATAAATTTTCATTTAAACAACTAATGCTTGTAAGATTTCAAGCTTATATCAACCATAAAGATTAAAAAAACTGTTTAAATGCATTTATATGTTGTCTATTTGACAAAAAATTAAAACAAATCCATTGATATGTAATCTAAACACAAAAATGCGTGCAAAAGCTTTCATCTGTTATATTTTTTGGCTCTTGGTTTTTCATAGCAAGAAAATCAGAAAGAAAGAATGTTTTTGTATCAAACTCTGTGTGAAAACAGAACTGTACACACATACAAAGTTACTTGTACCGCTGCTCTGTGCATATTATTTATGCCTGCACTTTCTTTTATATGTGTAGATATCCTGTATTGCTGAACATAAATAGTTTTAGCTTTGATTCACCCACCTGCAGTTGAGTCAGTTTGCCCTTAGCAGTTCTTTTCCTAGAAGACATATCTTCTTTTATATAGATAACCCTTGTATGATTTGACTTACTTGAAACAATCTGCCACCTAAAACACCTATGTCACTTTTCATTGTTTGCTTCATGTATAAGATATGCTTTGAGTAATGCATGCTAAAAGTCTTCAATGAAGGTAACCCCACCTAAACAGTTAACTTTCAAATTCATTGTGATAATTACTTAATCTAGCTTAATCCTCCAAATGGATCATTCTTCCATATTCTGACATTGCATTTTGCCTGATTATGCATGTACGTGCATTAATGTATCAGAATATGTCTGTGCAAATGCATCAGGATATCTGCACATGCACAGACATACTTTTAATGCTTGTGCATTAATGATTTTCATAAAAACTTCTCGTCATTTTCAAACTCGCTGCACTTTCCATGTGAATATATGTAAGAGAACCTCAGAGATGGGAAAAGAGCTACTCAGTCCATTTTTTTTAATTCTGTGACCTTCACTTTATTTTATTGGTTGATTACATTTGCATTTTTCGCTGAGCATTTTCACTCATTGACTCGTTGAAGACCATAACGGCTGAGACGACCTTTCATTCAGATGACCACAGCTGCCTCAAACGGCCGAAATTCTGATGTAGTTCCCTTCCCTAAAGTATGCAGTAGAAGGTCCAGTTTCACCAAATGCATTGTATCAGTTTATTGTTAGACGTAGAAAGGATGTCATTTGTCATGGCACTCTTTGTGCACTAATGGATGGGGTGGGGAGAAAATTGCTGTGACTCTCAAAAACCATTTTGAGTCTGTATTTTAACATACAGGTTAGCAAAGGCTTTGGTTTTCAAAGAGTTAGGCTGTGTACAGAGGGCGATGTAAAGGGCATAAAATACGGGAATTTCGTTCACACTTGTGAGAACGGGGTGTAAGCCGGGGCCAATGAGAGAAACTAAATTTGCGCATGCGTGGATGTGTCTACAACTTTCCCACGCTGTTCTCCTGCTTGATTGATTTCCCGCATTCGCTCTGCTTGTTTTGTGACAGCAAAATCTTCTGTAGAACGCCGCTTCGTTTTAGCTTCACTCTGATTGGTCGATGCTTATCCCAAACTCTGCGTAAAGTTGAAAACTTTGAACCCTATGCCACAAGCCCTAAACCAGATTTTGTGACGTTGCACAGACTGGTTGCCTTGGCAACGGAGCTCGGCTGTAACCACTTATGCCCTCATCTGAACGAAGCTTTAAATACAAATGAATAACCTGCAGTTATTCATTTGTATTTGAATGAAATGGGAAAGGCATGCAGTGAGGTAAGACAAAATTTCATGTGTTCTTTCCCCACTTAAAGGGTGAATGGGTATGGTAAACGCTCAGTCACCAAGTGGTGACAAATTATCATCCATCACATTTCTACTTAGGTGCTGTTTGTAAAGGATGTTATATATATTTTTCGATTTTAGAGCAGAAAAAATGAAAAAATCAGCCAAGCCTTCACCAGCAATCGAACTCGAATCAAGCATTCTTCACTTCAAGCATTCTTCTACGTTTTAAAACCTTTAAACGTTTAAAATGCTTTCTAAATGTTTACTTGTTTGAATTTTGTTTGTCCTAATACCTCATAGATGGCAGCACTAATCAGATATTCTATCATTCAGCTGTTAGCCAGATGTGCTACCACTTACACCAGGAAGGCAAAAGAAATAATTGCTTATAAACTCCAGAACTCCCAAATTTTAATATATCTGAATGTAGATAATCTCTTTCAAATGTAATTCTAGGAAAACATTTGATCACTAACTTTTAAAAGAGAAAGAAATGCTGTGGAAAAAAAATCTTTTTGATTATAAATTCTTAAAATAAGTTAAGAAAATGATATTGTCATGTGTAAGTAAAGCTCAGAATGAGCAGTTTCACTCTTACCGATGTGATTTTCATCATAATTCTGATTAATTTTTATTCAATCTAGATTCATAGAGCATTGTGTGAAGACTTATCTAATAAGTAAATATTTGTATTTACTTTTGTTTTAAATCAACATATTGTAAGATCAGTTGATCTAAAAAAAGAGACATCTGAACTTTTTACTAAAATTTAGCCTTGTAATAATAAGCAGAAAAAACCCACTAAAATGTACTTATTTAATTTAGATATGGAATATCACCAAAAATTACTATTATTTTTCATATGTGAAAATTAAGTGGCTTGTTTTTAACACTGAAGTGTTGGTCTTTTTACCTTTTAAAAACTTATTTGAAAGTTTTTATTTTCATTGCCTATTATTTATCTTGAAGTTCAAATTTTAGGGTGTTAGTTATCGAGCCATACTTGCTCTTCCAAGGCTGTTTCGTTAAAATGACTGTTGCATTATAAGTTACTTCTTAGTTGACATTTTATAATTCCTTAAAAACAAGACAGTGTGATTTTA